GATAACAACGCCTGTACTGCAGGATAACAACGCCTGTACTGCAGGATAACAACGCCTGTACTGCAGGATAAGAACGCCTGTACTGCAGGATAACAACGCCTGTACTGCAGGATAACAACGCCTGCACTGCAGGATAACAACGCCAATAACAACGCCTGTACTGCAGGATAATAGGTCTGTACTGCAGGATAACAACGCCTGTACTGCAGATAACAACGCCTGTACTGCAGGATAACAACGCCTGTACTGCAGGATAACAACGCCTGTACTGTAGGATAATAGGTCTGTACTGCAGGATAACAACGCCGATAACAACGCCTGCACTGCAGGATAACGGCGTCTGTACTACAGGATTAAAACGACTGAAATCGGAAGAACAGTTTTCTAATGTAAAAAGCCGTCCTTTTTTTTGCCGGACTGTACTAAAGGATTACAACGACTATACTGCAGGATTACAACGACTGTACTGCAGGATAACGGCGTCAGTACTACAGGATTACAACGACTGTACGGTAGGATAAGACATCTGTACTACAGGATTACAACTGTACTGCAGGATAACGGCGTCAGTACTACAGGATTACAACGACTGTACGGTAGGATAAGACATCTGTACTACAGGATTACAACTGTACTGCAGGATAACGGCGTCAGTACTACAGGATTACAACGACTGTACGGTAGGATAAGACATCTGTACTACAGGATTACAACTGTACTGCAGGATAACGGCGTCAGTACTACAGGATTACAACGACTGTACGGTAGGATAAGACATCTGTACTACAGGATTACAACTGTACTGCAGGATAACGGCGTCAGTACTACAGGATTACAACGACTGTACGGTAGGATAAGACATCTGTACTACAGGATTACAACTGTACTGCAGGATAACGGCGTCAGTACTACAGGATTACAACGACTGTACGGTAGGATAAGACATCTGTACTACAGGATTACAACTGTACTGCAGGATAACGGCGTCAGTACTACAGGATTACAACGACTGTACGGTAGGATAAGACATCTGTACTACAGGATTACAACTGTACTGCAGGATAACGGCGTCAGTACTACAGGATTACAACGACTGTACGGTAGGATAAGACATCTGTACTACAGGATTACAACTGTACTGCAGGATAACGGCGTCAGTACTACAGGATTACAACGACTGTACGGTAGGATAAGACATCTGTACTACAGGATTACAACTGTACTGCAGGATAACGGCGTCAGTACTACAGGATTACAACGACTGTACGGTAGGATAAGACATCTGTACTACAGGATTACAACTGTACTGCAGGATAACGGCGTCAGTACTACAGGATTACAACGACTGTACGGTAGGATAAGACATCTGTACTACAGGATTACAACTGTACTGCAGGATAACGGCGTCAGTACTACAGGATTACAACGACTGTACGGTAGGATAAGACATCTGTACTACAGGATTACAACTGTACTGCAGGATAACGGCGTCAGTACTACAGGATTACAACGACTGTACGGTAGGATAAGACATCTGTACTACAGGATTACAACTGTACTGCAGGATAACGGCGTCAGTACTACAGGATTACAACGACTGTACGGTAGGATAAGACATCTGTACTACAGGATTACAACTGTACTGCAGGATAACGGCGTCAGTACTACAGGATTACAACGACTGTACGGTAGGATAAGACATCTGTACTACAGGATTACAACTGTACTGCAGGATAACGGCGTCAGTACTACAGGATTACAACGACTGTACGGTAGGATAAGACATCTGTACTACAGGATTACAACTGTACTGCAGGATAACGGCGTCAGTACTACAGGATTACAACGACTGTACGGTAGGATAAGACATCTGTACTACAGGATTACAACTGTACTGCAGGATAACGGCGTCAGTACTACAGGATTACAACGACTGTACGGTAGGATAAGACATCTGTACTACAGGATTACAACTGTACTGCAGGATAACGGCGTCAGTACTACAGGATTACAACGACTGTACGGTAGGATAAGACATCTGTACTACAGGATTACAACTGTACTGCAGGATAACGGCGTCAGTACTACAGGATTACAACGACTGTACGGTAGGATAAGACATCTGTACTACAGGATTACAACTGTACTGCAGGATAACGGCGTCAGTACTACAGGATTACAACGACTGNTGACATGATAGACCTGCAACACGTCAGGGCATGATAGTGACATGATAGACCTGCAACACGTCAGGGCATGATAGTGACATGATAGACCTGCAACACACGTCAGGGCATCCAGGGTTTTTAGCATCCCTATCGGTGGCCGCGGCTCATCCAAGCAACAATATATTTTAAAAGGTAAACTAATACCTATGATTAAAATTGCAATTATATAACTTTTATATTTAATACAACAATACTACAATAATACACATACAATGAAACACATAGACCTAAAAGTATATAACATACGTTGTTAGCATGCATGTCGGCAGCCGGCGCCCATCTAAGCTACAAAGACCGATAGGCACTACCTATATAGTAAAACTTAAACTGATTTCTATAATTAAAATTATCATTATATAACTTTTATATCAAATACACCAAGTAAATATACATGCAATGAAACAGATTAGCCTAAAGAAATAAGAACATACGTTGTAAGCATGCCTGTCGGTGACCGCGGCCCATCTAAGCAACAATGACTTATGTATTGTAAAACAAATGATACCTATCTAAGATTAAACTTTTATTATATACCTAACTATAATATTAAATACACCAATACTACAATAATACACATACAATGAAAGACATTAGCCTAGAGAAATAAGAACATTTTTTTATCATCCCTATCGGTGGCTCATCCAAGCAACAATATATTTTAAAGGTAAACTAATATCGATGATTAAAATTACAATTATATAAATTTTATCTTAAATACGCCAATATTATAATAATATAAATACAATGAAACACATTGACCTAAAGGAATAAGAACATACCTTGTTAGCGTCCCTGTCGGTGCCGCGGCCCATCTAAGCTACAATGACTTATATATTGTAAAACTTAAACTGATATCTATAATTAAAATTTTTATTATATAAATCTTATACTACATACCGTATACCACACATAGACCTAAAGAAATATAACATACGTTGTCAGCATCCCTGTTGGTCGCGGCCCATCAAATATAAAATGACATAGGTATATTGTGAGACAAACTGATATCTATATGATTAAAATTATCATTATGTAATTTTTATATTAAATTCACCAATACTATAATAATATACATACAATGAAACACATAGTCCTAAAGAAATAAAACATACGTTGTTAGCGTCCCTGTTGGTGGCGGGCGCCCAGAGCTTCTTGACGAGGACGCCCATGATCTGCTGGGGGCTGCGCACGGCGCTCAGGCGGTCTAGCACCTGCTGGGGCTGCGTCTTCTCTGCGTAGCAGACCCAGCCTGCGGGTACGCTTTTAGTTAAACTTCAAACTCAAGTTTAAGTTACAGGGGCCATATTTAAAAAAAAAAGTTAAGGAGATCGTTAGTTCATCAGCCAATCATTGACGGCCTTTCAAGTGAAATCCACCAATCATAGACAAAAAAAAAATAAAACTCAGTACTCACTGCAGTGAGTGACAGAGAGCGCTTTTTCTCGTCGACAAAAACGTGAAACCGGCAAAAATTGCCGAACGAGTGCCTTAATTTGCAGACTTCAACGTAGCTCATTTTGACGCACGATATGCAAAGCTAAATAATATAATAATATTAATAAAGATCTTTATTAATATACATTATTTATTTATTAGATTCAATTGTTAAATGTATTATAACATAATGCAGTAATTGAATGCATAATTTACTACACAATTATTTATGAGAGATACCAGGACACGAGGCGCATATGATTATGTTTCATCAATATATTTAATAATTGAATTTACTATAACATAATAAAATAAATTAATGCATAATTAAAAAATTAATAATTCATGAAAGATACCAGGACACGACGCGCATATGATTGGCAGGCGCATAAAATTACAAGTTTCTGTAATATATTTATTTATTTGATTTGAAACATAATACAATAATTTAATGCATACTTTAATATATAATAATTCATGAAAGATACCAGGACATGACGCGCATATGATTATGTTTCATTAATATAATTAATTATTAATTGTATTATAACTTAAACATAATACAATAATTTATTGCATAATTTAATATATAATTATTCATTAGATGCACACATACCAGGACACGAGGCGCATATAATGGGCAGGCGCGCGGGGTCGCGCGTGAAGGCGTCGGCGAACTCGCGCGCAGCGTCGCGCAGAGCGAGCGACCGCGCCACGTTGCTGTCCCACACCGCGCATGCGCCCAGCTGCCTCAGGTAGCCTGCGCGTAGAGGGGACCGAAGTATAAAAACTCATGTAACTTATGTAACTAAGTTTAACTTGACATAAAAACTAGTATATTTATTATCAAGCTGCCTCAGGTAGCCTGCGCGTAGAGGGGATCAAGGCGTATAAACTCGCGTAACTTATGATCTATAATATTTATTATATGCTAAGCATGTAAACTCATGTAACTTATATAACTAACTTTAACTTAACTTAAAAAGTAGAATATTTATTATCAAGCTGCCTCAAGTAGCCTGCACGAAGAGGGACTAAATCAAATAAACTGTTGTAACTTATGATCTATAATATTTATTATAAGGTAAAGCATATAAACTGATGTAACTCATAAAGTATTATATTTATTATAAGGTAAAGCATATAAACTCATGTAACTAATAAAGTATTATATCTATTATAAGGTAAAGCATATAAACTCAGGTAACTTATGAACTGTTATATTTGGATTACATGCACAGCATGTAAATTCATGTAAATTATGAAGTATTATATTTATTATAAGGCAAAGAATGTAAAGTGATTTAAGATAAAAACAATTATATTTATCATAAGAATTTATATATTGGTAAGTACGTTGAGAAAGAAGCCTGCGGTTAGGAGAGATCAAGGCATATAAAATGATGTAACTTATAAACTATTATATTATAAGTATTAATAGCAGCAGTTAATTAACTTGGTAAGTACATGAAGGAATAAGATAAAACTGACAATAATAATAATTAAAGGGAGGACAGCTTATGGACACCACGACCTCCTTGTCCTTGTCCATCAGCGCCCTGACAATAATAATAATTAAAGGGAGGACAGCTTATGGACACCACGGCCTCCTTGTCCTTGTCCATCAAAAAATCAGGTTTCTTTGCCACCAGGAGAAATAGGAGGCAGAGGATAAAAGCCGCAAGGATTTTTAAATAATTTATATAAAATAGAATATTTACTTTAGAGTGTCGTAAATTTGGCAGGAATTGACATGATGCACCGTTACTGACAGCGCTAATATCTATATAATAAATAAGATAATGATAACAATACATTATAGTTGTACTCACTGTCGCAGCTGATGGTGACTCTGCTGCTGCACCATCTGGCAGGTGGCTGTCACTAATTTAATATAATAAACTCACCTCTAATATCTCTATAATATACAAGATAATGATAACAATGCAGTAATTCTACTCACTGTCGCAGCTGATGGTGACTCTGCTGCGTCACCATCACCACCTCGGCTGAGGTGACGCAGCCGCTGCAGGCCAGGCAGTCGCTCAGGCTGATGGCCGCCTTCTTGGCCACCACCTCAACGTCATAGGTAATCATCAAATTAATCTGCTTCCTTATAATTCTAATTACTAATTAGTTAAATTAGTAATTATTCAAATTGGTAAATAATCAAATCAGTACCTAATTAATCAAATCACTCATTAATCAAATCACTCATTAATGAAATCACTAATTAATCAAATCACTTGTTAATCAAATCACTCATTAATGAAATCACTAATTAATGAAATCACTAATTAATGAAATCACTAATTAATGGAATCACTACTTCATCAAATGACTAATTAATCAATTCACTAATTAATCTAATTTATCAGTACTACATCTGATATTAAATAAAATCAACGCCAGTAAACATTATTGAATTAATTAAAAGTTCTTCATATAGGTAAATATGTTAATGTCTACAGTTAAATATGAAGCCCCTTAATTGCTCGGGAAGCTCACGGGGGCGGCGGTGTCCTCCTCCAGGCGGATGGCGCCCTTACCCACGGGGAGAGGCACGGGCGCCACGGGCTTGATGCATTCCTGCGGGATAACAGTGCAGGATAACAGGATAATGGGTCTGTACTGCAGGATAACGACGACTGTACTGCAGGACAACAACGCCTACACTGCAGGATAATAGGTCTGTACTACAGGAATATAACGACTGTACTGCAGGATAACGACGACTGTACTGCAGGACAACAGTCGCTGCTGTACGCTCAATACCGTACCTCGGATTGACGCTAACCCCTAAAAGGGGCAACGATGTAAGTTGAAGGCTAAATAAATCACACACTGAAGCTATTCTAGTGCACATATCATAAATTCTACGTCCAGATATCGGCTAAAAAAATACCGCAGCGGCAGTTATATATTAATTTTCGATTCTGCATCTAAGGTTCATGCTCTGTACGGCCAGAGATCACCTTGTAAAGCTTCCTAAAAACTAAGGGCAGGTCAGAAATTAACCGTTAACCGTAAAGAGATTGCCGTAAAATAAAATAACATTAGTGATCTCGGCGCTGAAGTGTAGGCCTGATGTGGCCTGTCGCCGATTCTTTTTATTTTCGTGCCTTGTTCACAGAAGATCGAAATCGTGTCATTTTACCGGATCTTTTCATGACTGGCGATAGTTTGAAGTAGCTACTAGATTTCCACCGGGTTCGATATGGTGCTAGGCACCATATCGAATATGGTGCCTTATGATCGGATGAAGCGTCAACCTCACCTGGGAAGGAGTTATGAAGTCGTCCAAGTCTGTGAGCTTGAGGCCGCTGCTGAACCCTGCCATATTTCACCGTGTTCCCTATTAAAGATCTTTGAACTATTTATATTATAATTTCTTAAGGTTGCAGATTTATTCTATTAGAATCCGGGATAATAAATCCCAACACTAATGCGAAAAGTTCGCGTGCACGAGCAATTTAATAATACTCATAAGGACGCTGTAAAAAGGTTATTAATTTTAGTAAAACGCTCACGATTTTTGAGCCGAATATTAAATAGTCTTACCACATTTGGGTTAACTTTTATTAGTTTCTCATTTTATTGATGAGGTAATATAATTCGATCATTTTAATTTCTCACTTTAATTTGATAGACGGAAAGTCAACTTGGCGTATTGAACTTTTTTTTACATTAAAAAATATTGTTTTGCGTCTTCTTCTAATTTTGCAGATAAAATTAAACCCCAAACGCCTCTTATTTCCAGAGAATTTACACATTTCAGACAATCTATGAGAAATATAAATTTTATTTTTAAATATTGAGATTTTTTCAGACAATTTCATGTCAGATTTTTCTGACAGTTTGGTCAAATTTGATTAATTTTCGCAGGCTTCTCTTCGCACTCGTCGCTTCAGGAGTCATCGCGACACAAGCAGATCGAGTGGGGTGTCTCTAAAGTTATCATGAATAAAAGGCATCTGCGTTATTTGAAAACATTTAAAGCATATATTGCTCATACAGGAAGCTTTTTCATGTTGCTGATACCAATTCCTTTTCATGGTATACGTTTTTTTCATGGTGTACGTTTTTTTCCATGATGTACGTTTTTTCATGGTGTACATTAATTCCATGGAGTACATTTTCTTCATAGTGTCCTTCTCATGGTCTACGTTCCGCCAATAGCCCAAAAATAGTCAATAGCTAATAAAGAAATTTTATATGATATAAATTTACGCTCCTAAATTCACATAACCTAACGCTGCTCAGGAGCCCAGAGATCGCAGCGACTTCTCTTAGACGTCGTCAGCCTAGAAGGCTGACAGCGCCCCCCTTGAGGTCGTTGATTAATGAGTTGTAAGTCCTCGGGGACTTTGAATATTTAATTATTAAGTCGTTAAATCGCTGTGCCATTAGTCAATAAATCGCTGTGCCATTAGTCAATAAATCGCTGTGCCATTAGTCAATAAATCACTGTGCCATTAGTCAATAAATCGCTGTGCCATTAGTCATTAAATTGTTGTGCTATCGCCTCATTGAGTCATAACTCTTTGAGTCGTTAGATGCACAGCGGTCCTATCACCACATTGATCCCAGCCAGGGTAAAATTCTACACACCAACATACGTTGACATATCAAAAAACGTTCCTCGTATGCCAAAGCAATGAAACACCATCGAGGAAAGGTATGCACTACTTTGGCTTCACGTGCCTACAAGTCAAGACGATCCATGAAACACGTAAGTCCAAACTCTAATATGTTCAATGGCTTACAAAATTTAACTCTTGATATCAATAAATCCTTCAAAGACTACAAACTAAAGTCCAAACTTTTCAGGGGATTTATCTTGGGAGACCAGGACATTCCCTTAATGTTTAACAGCTGGCGCCTCCAAGCTAATGGGATTGCCAAGTTCGTGTCAACAATGAGCATGATAATTAATAATAATTATCAAGCTATCAAGATAATAAAAATACAAGGGAACAAAAACATGATATAAGAACAGGGTTTACTACCGCCCAGCCATGGAGCTATCGCGCAGACGATAGTACAAAATAATCATCAATATAATCACACTTTCGTCACCATCATCACACTTGCTTCACCATCATCACATTTTCGTCATCATTACCACAATTTCCTTACTTTCATTACACTTTCACCATCATCACACTTTGGTTAATCAATAAACAATCAAATCACACCAGGGGATGCAAGGTGGAAAAGGGGAGAAGTAATTTTAGGGAAAAGGGGAAATATTTAGGGAAAAATTTATGGAAAAGGGGAAAAGATTTAGGAAAAAGGGAAGAGATTAAGGGAAAAGTGAACAGACACGATTATGGAACAGCAACAGAAACGCGGAAGGGGCAGGTGAACAGCGACAGAAAAGGAGGGATAGTATGGACAGGAATAGAAACAAATATATACCCTAAGACGACACATTTGTCGTCCCAACGAGGACTAGAGGTGATAAGTGGAAATGTAAACCAAGCTTTCTTTAGTTTTTATGCTTAATACATTGCATAATAATAAATTTATAATCAATAATCAAGTGATTCTTCCGAGTAAGAATATACTCTGTCGTGTCAACTCTTAATCAAAGGACGGGACCGTAAGTGTCTGAAAAAATTCAGTCGAAGTAATCCTCGATATCAACGTCAGGATCGATGAAATCTTATCCAAAATGTCTGAATAATTCATCCAACATATCTGAATAATACATCGCAAACGTCTGAATAATTCAGTCGAAGTAGTCCTCGATATCGACATCAGGATCGAGCAGGTCCTCCCCATAAGCGCTCAGGTCCATCTGGTTGAGGATGAGGTTCTCGAAGGTCTCCTCGAGGTCCGTGTCCCCTATCAGGAGGGCGCCCTGCATCCTGCCTTCCTTCAGCACCACCTTCACGTACTCCAACCCTGGCGACATGCGGCGTGTGATTATCCATTAATATTAGAGGACGGGGATTATTAATAAGGGGACGGGGATTATTAATTATGGGACGTGGATTAATAATTAGGGGACGGGGGTTATTAATTAGCGGATGGGAATTATTAATTAGGGGAGGGGACGTCCCACAATTAATTAATTGTGGGAGGGGGATTATTAATTAGGGGATGGGGAATTCATCTTAGTGGGTCATCCAGACCCACCTATTTACTTCAGTGTAACGTCAGAAACAATAAAAGAAATTTATGTACGTCGTAGAGGACGTCATTGTCAGCCTCTACACGTAAAGGCTGATATAATAACTTGGCGCGAATAAAATGATATAACAAAGCATTATTTTTTGTTGGTCCATCGAAGTGTTCATTAGACACGTCATCTTTGCATATATGTTAACGTTTCTAAAAAATCGACTTCATGGTAACTCAAAATGCAAACAGCCGATGTAATAAAAATTGTGGCAGACCTAGCTACAAGTTAGCTTCCATAGACCTATTAAAAATTTCATGTCGTTTTTCTCTATTCAGCGAATTGGATTTTTTGATAGGATTTGAAAATTCTAAAATTGGTTTTGTCCGAATTCTAATTTCTAATTCACCGAATAATGAAAACCTGTAAGAAAATTATTAATAAGAAATACTATCTGGTGTTCACCAAAACGTGCGTTGAGGAAAACACACTAATATATACGAAATTTTTATTATATAAATCACCACACGTGAACATAATTTGCGAACATATGCAAATCACGAATATATAGCACATTATTATTATATAAATCACCACACGCGAACATAAATCACGAACATATACAACACACGAATATATACAACACTAATAAATACGACATTTTCATTTTATAGCTAACCACACGCGAACATATATCACGAACATATACAAAACACGAATATATACGAAATTTAAAAGGCCGGTAAGATACAAGGACATTTTTATTATACAAATCAGCGTACGCGAAGCTCACCGGGCGTCATCCTGAGCAGAATGTCGTATTTGCTGTCCAGTTTCTGTCCGTTGTAGAGCCCCAGCATGACCACCTTATGGCCGAAGAAGCGTGTCGCGTGCGTGAAGAGCTCGAAGCAGAAGTCCTGGTATATCTGCTGCTGAGTTACGGACGCCCACATGCACTTGGCGGCGTACGAACCCATCTGTCGGGCCTGCGTCCATAGCCGCATCTGTGGGGCAAGAAATAATTCAGTGGGTGGATAATTTACGGTCGTGAAGCGGAGAACTTACGGTCGTGAAGGAGGAGAACTTATGGTCGTGAAGGGGAAAACTTACGGTCGTGAAGGGGGAGCCTCATCTGTGGGGCAAGAGACATGGGGACGTTTGGGGGATAATTTACGGTCGTGAGGGAGAGCTTATGGTCGCGAAGGGGGAAACTTACGGTCGTGAAGGGGAGAACTTATATACGGTCGTAAAAAGGGGAAAACTTACGGTCGTGAAGAGGGGAAAACTTATGGTCGTAAAAGGGGAAAACTTTCGGTCGTGAAAGGAGATTCTCCCTTTACGACCGTAATTTCTTCTCCGAGATGAATTTATGGTCGTGAAGAGGGGAAAACTTACGGTCGTGAAGGGGAGAACTTACGGTCGTGAAGGGGGAAAACTTACGGTCATGAAGGGGAAAAACTTACGGTCGTGAAGGGAAAACTTACGGTCGTGAAGGGGGAAACTTGCGGTCGTGAAGGGGGAAACTTGCGGTCGTGAAGGGGGAAACTTGCGGTCGTGAAGGGGGAAACTTGCGGTCGTACGGTCGTGAAGGGGGAAAACTTACGGTCGTGAAGGGGGAAAACTTGCGGTCGTGAAGGGGGAAAACTTGCGGTCGGGAAGGGGAGAACTCGTGCGGCGCAAAAGAGCATAAAAATTAAATTCACATCAAACTTGCGTACATGACCAAGCTAAGCCAAGAAGAGGGGAAAAATTGCTCGAATTTAATAGACAGAAAACTTCTTGCACACGAGGGTAATAAGTGCATTAAAATCCAAACAAAATCTTACTTATTTTTCCCAGTGTTTTCCATGAACATCCATGTCGAGAGCTACCTGTATTTGGACAAACTCTTACTTGTATCTCTGAGTGCATTCCCTCACCCCATCCCGATCACAACTGAGACATAGCCTCACTAATTTTTTCGCGTGTATTCCATCAACCCTCATCACGAGGTCTATTTGGACAAAGTCTCACTCATTTCCCCTACTGCATTCCTTCGCCGAATACCTATTGCAATTCAGACATAGCCTCACTCATTTCTCCTAGTGTATTCCATCAACCCCCTTACGCAGGCATATTTGGACAAACTCTCACTCATTTCCCCTCCTGCATGCCGTCACCCCCACAGCACCTGGTGCCAGTGCTGTGCCCAGGGCCAGGCTGCAGTGCACACGTCGCCAGCAGCGTACACGTCAGGCACGGCCGTGTCCATGCGGTCGCCTACACACACGCCACCGTCCGCCCCCAGCGTGAACCCGTCACCAGCTGTCAGTGTTCAGAACTTAATAGAAATAAAACTCAGTTTGCAATAATATAATAACTCAGTTTGCAATAAAATAATAAACTCAGTTTGCAATAAAACTCAGTCCGTGTCCATGCGGTTGCCTACACACACACCACCGTCTGCCCCCAGCGTGAACCCGTCACCCGCTGCCACTGTTTAGAACTCAATAGAAATAAAACTCAGTTTGTAACTACACATTTTCTTAGCTTTAGTTCATTTATAAAGTAGGAAGATTGAGGATTTCTAAAGTCGTTCTCAATGATATATATAAACCCTTAGTTGCTTTGCCATTTAGATAGTAAAATTGGAACATTAAAATCTTTCTCAACGATAGTATATATAAATCCTTCGTTGCTTTGCCGTTTAGATAGTGAGATTAGAACATTTCAAGCCTTCCTAAACAATAGTATATATAAATCTTTAGTTGCTTTACCAAAATGATAGTAAGATAGGAACATTAAAATAATTCTCAACGATATAAATCCTTAGTTGCAGTAGCATTCAACTAGAAAGTTTGGCAATTCTCAAGGACCAATGAGTGATACAAGTATCAAGGATGCTGGCATCATCCTGAGTAATATGTTAAATGGGACCCTAAATTGCGTTCCATTGTGGGGACTATGAAAGGAAATTATGAACGCTGAGAAATTAACTCGCCTAAAACAAAGTAAGCGGTAAACTACGTAGTTTTCTTTAGAGGAAAAACTAACAAGAAGTTGTGTATCACACTAACACCTCATGAGGGATGAGGTCTCACATACACGCCTCAAGAGTTATTATGAGGTCTCACATAAATGCCCCATGAGGTATGAGGTCTCATACACACCTCATGAGGTAGGTATTATAAGGTCTCACAAAAACGCCTTATGAGGTATGAGGTCTCATACCTGGGCCTCATGAGGGATGAGATCTCATACAAACGTCTCATGAGGTATGAGGTCTCCACACAAACGCCTTATGAGGTACAAGGTCTCCAGAACACCTCACCACTCAGGAGGCTGGTGTTAGGAGTGACGCCAACAGCGGACACGACAAAGTCGCAGCCGTAGACGAGTCCGTTGCTGAGCTCCACGTACACAGGCCAGGGCTGCTCCTTGCCTGTCATTGTCAGGGCAGCAAGTTATTATGAACAATTATGTTATTATGAACAATTATGTGATTATGAACAATTATGTGATTATGAACAATAATGTAATTGCAAGTGTTGCAAAACCTTCACCTGCTTTATAAAGAATATTTGTATTTTCGAAACGTCACATTTTATTAAAATGTCATTTGGTAACCTGCCATTTGATCTCTCGGTGACAGCTAGAAATTTAGTTCGTGTCATTGAAAAGATGAATAAGAAGATTATTAATGAGAAGCCGGCTCTGGTCTTCAATCAAACTTGCATAATTATGAAATTATGAACAATTATGTAATTATGAACAATTACGGTAGTATTTAATTATGAACAATTATGTGATTATGAACAATTATGTAATTATGAACAATTATGTAGGTAATTATGAACAATTATGTAATTATGAACAATTATGTAATCATGAAAAATTATGTAATTATAAATGTCTTGCAACAAAAATTATAGGGTAGCAAAGTAGAGGTTAGAGCCATGAGTTAATTATGAACAAGTTTTGCAACAAAAATCATATCACATAATGTGAAACATTTTTGTGAGGCAACTGAGGGCAACTGGCAAAGGCTTGGGCAGCATGTGAGGCCGGCAGACCAACTCAATAATTAATTAAATGTTTGACTTAGGGATGATTTTGACAGAGGGTGTGAATCTTGAATAAATCAAAGAAAATAATTATCAATAAGTAGAGGTGTAAGAGAATAATATAAAAATTTAGGTACAATGAAGTTGTCAATTTTTTGGAATAATGATAAACCTTCTGTTGCCTACTAGATTTATGAAACTCATCTTTAAATGCAATTTAGGAAAAACATAGTATTAGACAAAATTAACTATATATAGTTAATATTGAAAGCATATTGCATGGGCGAGACAGTTCGATTAAAATTAGATTACACAGTGATTCATATGTAATTATCAATAAATGGCAATTAATAATGCGATGGCATATGCAGGAAGATTAGCTGCCATTGCACCATTAGTACTTCATGGCAGACCATTCAGATATTGGTAATATCATTAATCTATTTTGATAAATTTGTGTAGTCAAGTTTCTGTGTAAGCTTGTCCCAAAATAAAAAAAAAATATAACTCAGTACTCGCTGCAGTGAGTGACAGAGAGTGCATTTTCTCGTCGATGAAAACTTGAGGTCACGGACAGACGGACGGACAGACAGACAGACAGACATGGCAAGCACAATAGTACATTTTTTCCATAAATGAGAAAATGCGCTAAAAACTGGATGATGTTGATTGAGTGATTACAATGTAAAATACCATCATTCCATAATACTTGAAAGGAAATCAGGCACTAACAAAGAATTGAATTAGTATGGAAATTTCCCCATAGAATATTGAAAATACATAAAAAAATCAAATCATGTATTTTTGTCACCTACAAAAAGCATTTGAAAAAGAAAAAAAATCAATGATAAGGTTCAGTTTTACAAGTGAAAATTATATTGTATAGGTACTTTTTAAGTATGAAAAATAAAAGGCAATATAAAAAAATACAGGTTTAAATATCTCTATTTTTCAGAGATGTATCACCCACCATCAATACTATTCATACCTAAAGGCCAGATAACTAGCCTTACTGTCAGTACATAAAGAGTTGAAACTTTTAGCAGAATAGCAGTGTGGCGCTGTTCATCTTGATACACAATATATTCTATGAGAGACTTCTCACCATCACTTGACTTCTTCAGGCCGAGTGTGAGTTTGGCAAGAAGCTGAGGGTCTTGGTGCAGGTCTTGGGGCTCATGGAGACCCACCACCTCCACCTTCGTGACCAGCTGCACTGTCCGGCGTTGCAGTGCACCAGCTACATCCAGCCCTTCATGCCAGTCAGGACCTAGCGCTCCACCTGCTACCTCTCTGCTGCCACTCTCTGTCGTCTCAAATGCCAAATTTAACTCAGTTAATTCAGTGAGAATAAATTTTTGTTGGATAATAGAAACAAAGTTTTTGCAATGGTAGGATTTTAAAGTGAAATGAGATATAAAAACAAGAAACCAGATAACAAACACCACTCAAACTCAGCTCAGGAAAGTTATCCAGTAGGTAATACAGATATTTATCAGCAATAAAGATGTAGACTCAAAGCATACATCAACTTTACAGTAATTCTGAGACCATATGATAAAAGAAAAATTAAATATACAATAATAACATAAAAAATTGCATTCTTGTTTCATAAAAAGTTAAAACTAACACTGAACATTCAGAAACTGACTTCTAGATTATCAATAGTGTACTTTTTCCGCTTAACAAGAGGCACTTCTGTAGGATTTTTGTCTTTGGTTAGACAAGGTCTGAAGAATTCAGCAGCTCCAGGGTCAATATAGGCTGCTGTGAACCAGGCATCCTTCACAGCCCAGATGATCTCCACACCTGAAATTTGACCATATAAGAAACAGGTTCCTATATTGTGACCACATTTTCATTTCAAATTTCCTCTCTCTATTTCACATTCCCAAAACATATATTTTGAATTAGGTATTCTTCCAAATCAAAAATTTCTTCAATAATAAAATATCCCTCATGACATAGGAGACAAAAATCACAAAACCCACAAAACAACAATGATGACATCACAACTTTGTGATGCCATCAAGAAGGTTTATAAAAGCTAAGAATCTTGGATTATTTTATAATATTATTTAATATGATATTTTTTTATCAGATATTATCATAAATTTTACCAAGATATTATCATATCCAATTTTGTTCCTATTATTTTTACTATGTCAGAATCTTAATCCTTCATTCCTCCCAAAAATTTCAATTTATGTATACCTATAATAATAAAGAGCTAACTTCTACATGTGATAAATTACTTTTTTTTAAATTGATTTGAATTAGAACTTTTCTATGGTTTAATTGAGCATTTTGGAATACTTCCTTATGCTAAAATTAAACATACTAAACATCATTAGTAATCAAATTTCTCCAAGATTTATCCATCAATTTTGTTTCACTTCAAATATTGACCAGGGTATGTAACACTGGTCAACAGTTGAAGTGAACTTGGGCTAACTCACCAGATATTTCATAAATTTCAGGGTAACTCACCAGATATTTCATAAATCATCTCAGTGGCAATGCCTCCATTGCCAACCACAACCATGCGGTCCGCATTTCTTATTCTCTGTTGAAACTTTTGCACAGACTCCGTGTCTCTGATGTACAGTACATGCTTGTGCTCAGGGAGCAGCTGCTTGGGAGAAGCTCCAGTACACACGCAGAGTTTATCATAAGTGATGCATGCTCCGGAACTCAAGAGGATGCGCTGAAATTGGTAATATTAATTCCCCAAGTACAATTTAATAGTTGATAAATGCATCTAATACAAATGATCTATTCTAATACAAATGATCCATTCATACAGCTTACTTGATGTTCTTGGGCAAATATGGCAAGGAGTTTTCATAATTTCAACCTCAAACTGTCCTTCAAATTAATAAAAATTTGTAATGGGTGAATCATTGCCAAATAAATGAATAGCATCATAATAATTAAGATTCTTATCCCATGTTCTTGAAGAATTTACTAATTTACTAACAGGCTACATCAAATGCAAGCTCAATCGAAATAACAGGATAGCCCAGACATATAAAATCTACTTACCTTTTTTTTAGGCTGAATGGTGCGGACTGTGAAAGGTTTAACAGTGACTGAAGGGCAGAGTTGTTGTAAGTATGAGTGATGCTTGTCTTCCACATCAAAAACATCAACTGACTTAGTAAGATGGAGTACATTGGTGACAGCCTTGATTAGGTCAGAACCGGAGATTAGTGCGGTGCGGTGTTCTCCGTCAAGGATCTCCAGCTGCTCAGTAACAGACGCTGCTTTAACAGAATTGAAAAAATGTAAAAAAATATAACTCAGTACTCACTGCAAAGAGTGACAGAGAGCGCATTTTCTTGACGACAAAAAAGTGAAGTCACGGACAGACAGACAGAAAGACAAACAAGAAGAGCACAATAGCACCTTTTTTCCATAAATGATAAAATGCTCTAAAATTCTGAACTCTAAATGTAAAAATTTTGAAATCTTTCATTTAATTTTCTTGACTACAAAAACGTGAAATCACGGACAGACAGACAGAAAGACAGACAAGAAGAGCACAATAGCACCTTTTTTCCATAAATGATAAAATGCTCTAAAATTCTGAACTCTAAATGTAAAAATTTTGAAATCTTTCATTTTGAAATGTTGTTATGGGCTGTCACTCTTGCTGCTGGAGAGTGGTGGTAACCTTGATCCCACTTGGGGAAGTAATGCTCCCCCAGTTCCGAGTTAATGTAAAATTATTTAGAATCCTGAAAGTCATGGTGAACATTATCTATATTTGTGTTAGCAGTGCTCTCCATCTCATTCTCTTTGCCCTTTTTGCTGACCATTGACCAATATTTTATGTGTCAGTGGAGATACATTAAAATTCCAAATCTCCTATCCGCCACAATATCGTACCCACACTACTGTCTGTGGTTGGTGAGTAGTTACCAAAATATACTTTCTTAACTCATTGCTCATATATTCATTGATCAAGATCCTAATGTCATATTTGTGATAATACTGTTATAGAAGAGGAATATATTTATGTTATCCTGCTTGGTAGTTTATTGTGTATATATGTTTTGAAGTTTGTATTGATGTTGTGTTCAATAATAGTTGTGTTACGTGTTGATAATGTAAATATTTTACAGAAACATCTTCAAGTACTTTTATGAGCGACCCATGCCCCGGTTGTCCGGTAGCCCGGTAGTCCATTTGTATGGTTGTACAGTTGCCCAGTTTTCCGTTTGCCTAGTTGTCCAGTGTAGCAGTTATACTGTTATTTGGGTATACGGTTCTGGTTGCCCAGTTATCCAGCTTGTAGTTAAGGTGATACCTGCTAATCGGGTTCCACCCAGTTCCCCAGTTGATGGTTATCCAGTCATCAAGTTATTTGGCTAGGTTTTTTTATTTAGAGCTCTCTCTTAGGTTTAAATTTTAAGTCCCTTTATAATGAAGTTTTGTATTAGAATTAAATAAAGTTGAACAAAAAAGAGAAAAACACCTGGTAGACAGGGATGGCTATAAGGGGAGTTGGGAAGCCATCTTTTATTTAACCCTTTAGAATTTAAAGAACCTTGAATACCTTCCCTCGCTTAACTAATAAAGACGACCCATTACAATGTTAGTGTAAATTATCCTCAACCTTATGTCATGGTTAAGATGGACAAATGATGCAATAAGTAATGTTAAAATTATTCATAGATTTATAGGTATATGTATTTAGTTTGCTTATTAATCATTGATTATTTAGGAGTCTCTTTCAATTGGTTAACATAAATTTTGAAAAGAATCAAGTTGATAATATGTGGTTATCTGGTTGATGAGGATAGCAAAGTTCTATTCAATTAATTATAAATTATTTTTACAAATTTTCCAGGCAAATTTCTAACTGTGGTTGTCAGCCTGTTGGCTAAGAAAATAATACAATATAAAATTCTTAATCTCTCAATATCAATTTGACCAATTTTCCTCACTAGAATTTCCGTTCTTACTTATTTCTTTCTTATTATTATTATTCTGACTTATTGACTTTCTTATTTGTTCAGTCTTAGTGAACATGCAAAGAAACTTGCAATAGAAGACCAAAAGCTGCATACTTACATGTTCTGCACAAGTTACTCCAGCAATTCCTCCACCAATGATGGCATAAGTAAAATGTTCCTCAGCAATCTGTTCATCCATGGCACATTATTATAATTATAAAAAATTACAATAAAAATAAGCCCTCTGTAAAGAAATGATAAAAAATTTAGCATGGATCTAAAAAAAATTAGAGCTATTAAGAATTACAATTTTAAAATACTGTCTCATTTCATTCAAAGCAATGTCTGGAAGTGTGGTACATACTATCTCAAGCTGTACTTGAATCGTAATCTAAATCTCAATCGTAATCTGTGGGTCCTTACATGTTTATCATTGAAAGGAGAACTTGTAACAGAGTCCAATGAATGAGAGCTTGCTCAATGGCAGCTGAGTCAGCACTGTCAGCTGAGTGTTGTGCTGCTGCAGAGTGCAGTCTTCTGGATGCTGCTGTCCAGTGAGATTTTCTGTATAGTTCTCCCAAAGTGGCTGAGTCCAAATGTTCACTTGCCATTAACTTAGCTTACTTAGGTTAGGTGCACTTCCTTACTCTTCCTATATCCAGTTGTCCACTTTACTGAATATGACGTTCAAAACTCATGCCAAAATGTATATGCTTAATTCACCTAGTCTCTTAAACATTCCTTATGTTGACCCTGAATAAAATAGGCCTGCTATGATTGCTCCAGCTCCAAGCACAATGAGCTGGCGAAAACCTGAGGGCTGAACCAGCAAGGCAGCTGGACTCTAGGGTATGAGCACCATGGATCTATTCTGTCTTTGTTTAATCAAAATTTTCAACTTGGAACTTAGTATCCTGTTGTTGTTAGTTGCCCGGGACAGCTGCTCAGCGGCGCCTCTGCAGAGGAGGCGGCTCCAGGGGAGGGGGAAGGAGCGGAGGTTCCACACCAAGGATGGTCATACATCTGACCTGACTTAGTATCCTGATCAGAGGCCACTGTCAGGAAGATCTGCCAGGTGCCCGGTAATTTTTATTATCATTTTATCAATTTGCACTGTGCACCATAATATGCCAGTAAAAAAGTGCACCGTGCGCCGTACTCCCAAAGTTGTTTAAAGATGAATGCGCAGCAATGCTATCACACACGAACTAATATCTGCATCAAGTTGACTAGATATCTAACGTGGTAACTCAGGTTCTGAGAGACTTCAGTGTGGAATTCTGTATAGGTATTCTCATGTCAATATAAGAAAATGTATCGAAATACCAACCCTACCACCACGTTACACCACCTTCCACTGCAATGAAAATTGATAAACTGAGCTCATTTGAAACAGCTGTGCTTCCGAAATCGCGCGTGGTTTGAAATCCAATCCCATGTTGCCAACGACTAATCAAGTTAACTAGTCATTTATCTGTAGGCTGGCAGACACATTTTTGCAATGAATACGTTCTAAAATAGAAAAAAACACATCCAGCTTTGTAAAATATTCTCACGATTGGACAACACCCACAAAGTTTTCGATTTCACACAAAATTATGAGATAAACTTCGACTCTTTCACTGCATACATTCACATGGTGTTTTCTGTTTACTTCTCACAAGACGGTGTCACACACTTATGTTTTGGTTGTGTCTAGTTTGATTTCACAATAAATAGACTTGATTCACATTCCATTCATTAAAAGAAATGTAACAATTGATTTTTGGAAATACGATGTTAAAATTAACGATCCGTATTAGAATTCAATAGACGTTACGACTTACGATTTCAGAATTATCTTCAAAAAGTTAGTTGCCGTTCGTTTGATCTGAAGTTTTCGTTCGTTTGATCAGAAGTTTTCATTTGTTTGATCTTAACTTTTTGTTCGTTTGATCAGAAGTTTTCGTTCGTTTGATCAGAAACAGAAAAAGGTTTTGTTCGTTTGATCAGAAACAACATAATTATTCATTCTCTTGCATTAAGTATACGAACGATTAGTTAATTCATAATTTGTATACAACCATATATGAATTAAGTATACGATTGATCATCCCGCTAGATCACCGGTAGCGGGAAAGAAGCTAGGTACCTATTCAATTCAGTAGCACATTAGCTCACGTGTTATGAAGTTCGGCTCGTCTGAACTCTGAATTGCGTGTTTAGTGTGCATGATGGAAAACTCTGCCTAATGATTACTTAATGAAGTTTAGTTCATTGCGGTCAACTTAAGAGACAAATTTTCAACTAAATAATACTTTTTATAAGTCTAATTTTAATTGTTGAGTGAAAGGTGCAGACTTGCAACTTCCAAGTGATTAGGTACTTTATAGAAACTGAGCAAGTTAGCGTATGTGTTTTAAGCCTTTAAGAAGTTCATTTTTTGCCTCAAATAACGATGTTTTATTGAAAAAGTGGTCTTGGTGGATCGAAATAATATATGAACCTTCGAAATTAGAATTCCATCCTGCTGAGAGTCAGCACAGTTATGAATATTTATTTATCATTCATAGAACATAGTTCGTTGGAAATGAATTACAAAACTGAACAGTAGAAGGCAACAATCCACATGGCTTGAGATTGTTGCCTTCTAATGAAGGACAGATTTTGGCAAATAGTAAAAACCCAAATGTCAATGTCGGGAATACGTTACGTTCCCGACATCCTCCCGGTTGATGAAATGGGTTTGTTCAGTGCAGCAGTGAAACAAATTGAATACAAAAATACAGGCACCGCAATTTTTTTTAATTGTCAGTTCTCATTTTTTGTAACTTTGAAGGTTAATTAAATAGACGAACAACAAACATTAATAAAATATGAATAGTGTCAAGAGACGCATCGCACGACGCATGATGATGTATCAGCATTGCATAAAAGTTTGTAAAGGCGATGTTGCCATACCATTACGTTGGGAATCTCTGATGACAGTTATGTCTAGACATATTTTATTTACAAAATATTTTGCACTCTAAACGATTTTCCATTAATTAGAATGATGAAATTATTTCTGACTCATATATAGAACAAGCAAAATCTGTCATTTAATACCAATATTTCTATTTGTTTAATTCGTATGCCCAATTTCTGATCCTGATGACTTGGTTATTCACCACCTGCCTAACGTCTGGACAAAATATTGCATCACATCCGGACGGTCTACGGAAGGTAAACAAACAATGTTCGTATAAGAAATTTGTAGACAATTTTTCTAAAATAAATTTCTGGATTTTTACTTTCACAAAATTTCTATGTCAAGGAAAATCATAGATTATTGATGGATAATTAAATGCATATTGAGTATTATAAGTTTTCTGTCTAACAGTCTACTGTCCATGACAAAATGTATCTAGGCACTGCGCCAACGGCCAACGCAGTAACGCTTGTGCACGGCGCGCGCAAGCGGGGATGGACAGAAGTTGCGCCGATTGTGCGCAGCAATAGCTTAAAAAAAGTCATAGTGTGGGAAAATTCTGTGAAAACTTACTACATCTGTACATCATATGATCATCCTGAGATTCCTGACTCCTGAGTGCAGAATGTGGATCAGAGGGTTCAAGGTTGTCTGCCACACTCAGGAAGATGTATATAAACGGGGAAATTTCTCGCGTAAATCAATCTAATTATATTTTTTTCGCGCAGACGTTCGTGCAAATCACGGTCATCGATTCCGCGCCGCGCAGCACCTGTCTCTTATACACCATCTAGATGTGTATAAGAGACAGCATTTAATGGGTGCCACCCAGCACCCAATATTAACTGATCAACCATTGCTGGCCAATTTCAGCTATCTGTTTGCAAACTACCAAAATTTCTGAAATTTGAGATAGTTTTCACTTTTCAGTCATTTTCTGTTTAAAATTTCTGTGTTGTAACC